CGGGAGCGCCCGAAGGGGCTCCGGGTACCGCAGCTTGTGGAGCTGTCACAACAAGCCCCGGTGGCCGGTCCCTTGTTTCCCCCGGTGCATTTTTGCCTCCTGTCCCCGGCCTGCTCGAGTTCCCGCACCGCCTGTTTCCGTGCGCGCTGCCCCTGCCTGCCTGCTCGCCCGCCTTGTCTACGCACCCTCCTGCCGGAGCGAGTTGTCCCCTGCCCAGGCCTGTACGGCGAGGTCTTGGCAAGCTTTGACGCCAGTCGAGTCCAGGGTCAGGTCTTAGGCCACATGTGCGGTTTTATCAACTTTACCACACCAGTTGTGAGCCAAAGCACCTGGCGGTGACCCAAATGCAGCCCTGGCCCAGCTCTCCCACCAGAAAGAGGCTGGTACAGCACCTGGCCCTGAACATGCAGCTGGCAGCCCGCCCTTGCCCCACACACAGATCCAGGGGGCATATGCCTGCCTCCCCCAGAATGCATGCAGCAGCAGGAGCCGGCTGCCCCTGTGACGAGCTGCCTGCAGCTCCATCTCGTGCCCCGCTCTCCGTGCCTGCCCCAGCCCACTCCCTTCCTCACCATGGGGTCCTCAGTCTTCCTCCTCTGCCCCCACACCCCATCCCCCCAACAGACTTACTGGCTGGATGCTGCTCTCCAAGGTGCTAGGCCACATATTGGGAATTGGATCAGTATTAGCAGATACGGCTGGTTAATAATCGGCCAACAGTATCGGCCCAAAAAATCTTTATCAGTGCACCCCTAGTAGCAGCCACAGTAGCAGCAAGGAAGCTAAGTCTGCTCGTTCTGCTCCCTGTGGATCATTTGCTTTTATCTGGTAGAAGCTTAGGTGGCAGAAGTTGCTGTTACCATACTTCCTTCCTTATAATGCATATGCCAGTTTCCGGAAGCTGGGTGTTGGAAAAAGGTATGGTATATGAGAAAATATGGTGATTTTATAAGCCAAAATATTACTATTGATTTATCCATATTATGGACTGACGTGCTTGCAAAACAGTACAATACAAAATACAACTTTTTTTCATTGATAACATGGATGAAACCCTTGTAACTAGCCTAAAACTGCCTTTAATTTAATTATTCCCAGGTCATCAGGGATTATGGAAGTGGCTAAGTGGTATGTACTGAAAGTGGCCTCCTGGCTGAGATCTAGTGATTGATAGCCGCCAAGCTAACTTTTGGTGGTGAGCAAAGGCTGATGACACCAAGGTTAGTAACTGAAAGTTTATATTTCAGTATTGCAGAACTAAATGTGAAACTCTGTTTTCCTTTTTATATTTACCTTTAAAACATGGAGTAGGATATTACTGCATTGTTGTCTTTCTGCTTAATATTAATATGATTGCCAATACCAGTTTGTGGATTTTAGAATTAGGACATGATGCAGAGCAACAATGACAAATTTCCTCAGCCTAGGTACACATCCCATTTGTTCCATTTCAGGCATGACTTCTGTTCATACAGGTATTCAGTCTGTGTTTTTAAATGCAGCTGAAGAAATTAAACTGTGAAATGTATGCATCAGGGCCAGTCCTTATATTTCCTTCTAAAGTTTTAAGACCTTGCTTCATAAGAACATTGCTTATCTATTGGGAAGAATGACATTGTTTCTGACTTGATACAGTACCAAAGGTCAGATGTTTCATTTGTGCCAGAAACCTATAATTTTTGCTTTGCTCCCTGGGCAGATCAGTTTTCCTCTGAATGAAGTGGCTTGCAAAAGTTAGCCCCTGTAGCTTAACGGGTCTTGGGTGGGATAGAAATTATCCTGAAATAAATCAGCCTTGATATTGAGTTCATTAGTGAATGAGAGGAAGATAAATAGGAATTGTTTTCCTTATTAAGGTTAATTTTGAGATCAAGTTGTGACCTTATCTGAAACAAGATTATGTTTTTAAGGTAACATTTTCTGAGGGCTCTAACATGCTGACACGGAGGACAGGATAAAGGATATATATTTTCTTCATTTTTGTTTTCAGCAGTTTATTTTTGGTTTACAGATGTTTGACAGAAGCAAGCCAACTGAGGAAGCCTCTGCTTCTTCGGCACAAGGTAAGCAGCTTAATAATGGGGGAAAAAACATACATAACTTTCCTCTCCTGAAGCAAATAATGGTATCTATCTTAACTGTAAATGTATCTCCCTGAGTTTGCCTTTCACTTTCAGTTTAAGTAAATTGTCACTTCCTGTCATCCTCAAATCTATGATTCCATAATAGGGATGGAGGTGAGATTTCTGATCATCCACCCAACTCCCTGTAGATACAAATAAATTACGTTGTGAGCTGTAAACAATTACATATACGCCAGAGGTTGATGGCTAGAAAATGGTAGAGATTTGGTTTTGGGAATTGGCTTGTATGTAAAGTAGATATGTATTAGAATAATGGCCCTGAGCAATGGCAAGGGTTAAGTGATTTTTAAAAGTCTGCTTCTGAAGGTTTCCTCAAGGCTCAACTGTGTCTGATAGGCAAGCAGCAAGCAGAGGCACAGGCTGGGAAATTAAAGACATGTACCACACTTATCCATAACATGAGATAAGGTGGCATTAGATCATAGTGCCCAGCTGCAGAGCCCTTGGGATTTCTGTTTTTTGGGAACAGACCAAATTAGGACACCAGTAAAGTCCAAATTAGGATGTGTGCATGTGATGCCTTTGTAAAACAAAGGAATATGCTGACAGGACAGAGCATGGACAGTATGACCACAACAAAAAGACCAGTCAGCGATGCCGAGTCATCACAGGGGGAAAAAGATACAAAAGGAGGGATTTCAGAGCAGCAGAGTTCCCGAGAGGGGAATCCAAGGCCACCATGGACAGGGGAAACACCACTAGCCTGTCTCACCCACCCAGAGGTGGGGAGGGGTGGACCTTGGCCTCTGACCTCCAGGCTGCTGACATTCAAGAGAGAGCCTCAGGGTGAAGCTTGCATACTGACCAGATATACCTTCCCTCTGAGGACAGCTGTAGGACTGGTAGATACAGAACTGTTTGCATTATTCTTATTTGCTATCATTGTGTATCAGTAAAATTCACCTATTATCGAATGGAGAGGTCATGGTCAGTCTGAGGGTTGGGGTCCACCCAGGGTATCTGGGTCCACACAAGGTATCTGGGTCATCCAGTACCAACAGAGGTAGCTCCATAATGATTGCAGGTGAAGTGACTTTGACCTATAGGACTTAACTTGGGTCCAAATCAAGTCAGTTGGAAAACTCCTACAGACTTTAACTAAGAAAGGATTGGATTAATATTGTTTATGAGGTACTTCATAGCCATAAAATTAAGTTTTCCTAAATGTAATACATTTTAGTTTTATATATTGTTTTATATATTGTTTTGACACACAATTTAGTAGCAACAGTAATCTGCAAAGCCAACAGTGACTAGTTTTGATTTCTTCTGTCTGATTTTTTTTTGTTTTAGTTTTTACTTTTTTTTCTTTTCTACAGGTATAGAAAAACGAGGCATTGAAGGCTCCCTACGACAGGAAAGTAGTAGCAGGTGAGATTGATGGTGTAGTTCAGACATCATCAGGCTTGCTTATTTCACTAAATTAACTAGGATGAATCTAGTTTTTGAATTTTCACTTGGCCCCTATTGTCTAACTCCCTCCCTCACCCTTATTTTCTCTGTTCTCTATTTTTTCAGTTTAATTCTTAAATGCATCTGCATCTCTCCTGTCTGTTCTTAGCTCAGATTTTCGGCTTGCTTCATTTCTTCATAGATGTGGTATCCTTCTTGACTCTGAACTCCTTGTTCCCATATCTCTTGTGTCTGTAGGTCTGACTACCACCTCCTTTGCAGCATTACCTGAGTAGACAAAAACATCAGGTTTAGCATTTTAAACATTCTTAGCTAGGATTTTGTTTCTCTCTGATTATTGCTGTTCCCTTTCCCATGATCTTGTGAAATCCTAGCACCTTTTCTTTAGCATATGCAATTAAAAAAAGACTGTCCTTTCCTTAACTCCATTGTCTTCCCTTTCATTTTATGGATCTGTTCAAAAGTACTGCTTTTTAATTTGAAGTCCTTCATGGGATCAGTGAAGCCTAACTCATGAATCAGTCTCCCTAGTTTCTGCAGTGCTGGTTGCATCTATGCCTTGCCACATTCTTCCATTTATATCACTTCTCTTCATCACTACCCTATCTCATGCCAATCTCTGAAAAAGTATCTTCTTGTCCCCTTCAGTACCTGTTGATTTATCTTTCCGCTATTACTCGACAGTGGGGTGCACAAATTAGTTCCACACTCACCCTGAGTGCCACTCTGATCCCCTTCCCTCACCCAATCTGCTGCTCTTCTTTTTGCTCCCTGCCCTATTTGCAGCTGTCCTGCCTGTGCCCTCCCTGATCTATAGCATGTCACACTTGGAGGCTGCATATGCCACTTATGACATGCATGCTGCAGGTTTGCCATCCCTGTCCTAAAACAAGGCTTCTCTACTCCTTTGATGGCATGGATCATACACAAACAAAGGTTCCTTGCCTTTCTCTTCTTCACTGTATCTTTTCATTCTCCCCTTCTCTACAGGTTTTCTTTTTATCGCCTCCTGTCCCATTTCCTTTTCAAATCTTTTGAAGGTACTAGATGACAGTTATACAAATAAAATGAATTGCAAGAGGAAGCATTTAACACAACTTTGAATTTAAGCTAACAGCGTTTTCACTTTATTTTCCCATATGGCTACATCTTGTGCAGTCATATGGCTTTCCCAGTTGTTTTCCCAGTAGCATTGCTACTTTTCAAGCAAAGTACCATGTTTGTTTTTGTTTTATTTGGAGTTTGTTTGTTTGTTTTGAATACAATGCACCTTTTTTCAAAATTCAGCAGCTGGAATTTGGATGCACATTATAAATAAGGAAATCCAACAATACCAGTTTCTGTCCCTCCTGCAAGAGTGCTGCCCATGGGGTTTCCTAGTTGCTGACTTTCTCTTGGACACTTTCTCTTTTCAGGATTGCACAGGTTGTTTCAGAAAGTTTTGCAACATCAGCAGGTGCTATACAAATCTCTGCTAAACTTGTATGCATAATATAGCAACTTTCTGACAGAAAATGGGGAATTGCTGACAGAACATTTTATATTAATGGTTTCCAATATTTTACTAAACACCTGAACTAAAACTTAATAACTCTTATGTCATTTAATATACTAATGTTAAATACTGATTTCATCAGTATATTTTTTCTTCTTTCAGTGTAAGCATAAGAGGGTCAGAACAGGCTGGACCTGGGTTAGCCAGTGGGCAGAATAGACAAGGGTATTGCAACTGTTGCCATGTACACTACAGAAGTCTTGAACAGGTAAGAAAGTTGGGTTGTCATGTAACAGCATATGGTTGGGAATTAAAAAAATGGAACAATTAATTTCGTCCATGTTTTTCTGTACCACAGTTATCACATCATATTGCCATGTATCAGGAGAGGGTTGACTAGCATCTAGCCTGATAAGCTTGTGTTATTTTAATCACAAATAATGAGCATTTCTTTTAATATTTTTCCAGTAACAAATGGAAAATGACTATTTTGAAAGCTTTTTCCTGTCCATAATAGATTCATCGTGCATGTCTGTCAAATCTGGATCTCAGCATCTCCCAGGTTTTAAAAGTCAAAACAGCAGTTTCTTTCACTGCTATAGGAGAAATAGGTTGGTTATTCTGTGGGTTTTTAAAAACTTGTACACATGTGGAAAACCCACTGAAAACAGAGTTTCTTCTGAAAATGGGGTCCATGGTCCTAGAACCATATCTAACCTTAACTGTTACTCAGTGGGCACATCTACACATTTATTAATGTGCCGTAGTTACGGTGCATTAAGTTTAGTACTTGGTTAACCAAATACTAAATCAGTGTGTAGTAACTTGCGCTACTGCACAGTAGCACTAGCACATGGCTATAGCGTATTAGCACAGTTTTTGCCTGACATGCTACTGCATGGTGTTATTAAGCTACTTGCGTAGTTAGTGTCTTGTGTAGACTTGCCCTGTGACTTCAGTAGGATCATGCTTGTGTTTAGAGTTAGCCACATGCTCAAACACCCTGCTGAACCAGTATTTTAAAGACTGCAGGAGGAGGATTTCTGTTTTAAGTATTTTTCATTGTAATAGGATTTTTAATTTAGGAATAAAAAACCCCCCTCCATATGGGGAGGTTAGTGATGATACCAGACTAGCAACTTATCTTGTCTCTTTTCAGCATGTTATTAGTTCCCAGCACAGACATTTCACCACTTACTGCAGGAATCGTATGGGTACTACCAGCTTGATGGAGCGTTTCCTCCAAGATGTTTTGCACCATCATCCCCACAGATACCATGACAACAGGTATAACAGTTTAAATTAAACTTTTAGTTGATGTAATGTAATGTTGTACAACCTTGCATTAAAAATATGTTTCTCATATGTTCTTCCTGTTTTAAGAACGCCAGATTGAGGGCAATTTACCGAAAACAAGGACTTTTACATAAAAAGAATGTACAGAACTTGGCTGGTATTTTATATATATCTTTTCTACTTCAGAGCCGTAGATTTTACTAATTAGTGCATTACGTCTTGACACCCATCTTGCTGGGGTCATCTGATCCCAGCAGTCTTTCCTGCCCAAGTGCAGGGGGGCTAGACCCGATAATCTGTAAGGTCCCTTTCAGCCACTAACATCTATGAAACTACTAGCAACTTGCCCGTCAAGAATGACAGGCGGAGTGGGGGCCAGTGGGGACAGAGGTCTGCTTCAGACAACCAATCAGAGTGAATAAAGCATTACAGACAGACAAAGACTTTTATAATATTAGAATGAATAATACAGCTTCCGTGGTAGCATCTAGCCATATGGCATAATCAGAAAACAAGCAACATTAAACTAAATAAGCCACAGTAGTTCAGCTGCCTACTTTATCCTTATACCGTGTGCCATGTTGATTGCATCCATATTAAGCACAAAGAATATTTTTGAAGTTTGGTGAAAGATATCATTAGCGTGCTATGTTCATTATGACTCAAAGTATTTGTGAAATATATATGTTGAGTATTTACAGATGCTTGGAAAAGTAGGGCTGGAAGGGACCTCGCAAGGTCATCCGATCTGGCATTTGCTCAGGGTTGAACAGGATCATCCCTGACAAACCCATATCAGCCAAATGTCTGTCCAACTTGCTTTAAAAATTTCCAGGGATGGAAATTCCACAACTTCTTTAGGTAGCCTGTTCCAGTGCTTGGCCACCCTCATAGTGAGAAAATTCCTCCTAATCTACAACCTAAATTTCTTCTGCTTCAGTTTGAGTCTATTGCTCATAGCCCTATCCTCTTTGGCTACAGCGAGAAGCCTATCTCCATCCTCTCTATACCTGCCCTTCTGGTATTTATAGACTTGTCAAATTTCCCCTTGGTCTTCTCTTCTCCAGATTAAATAAGCCTAGCTCTTTCAGATAGATTGTCAGATAAATTGTCAATATATCCATTAGCTGAACATACAAACTATAAGGGTAATGGAATATTTATGTAAACAACCTTTATTTGCTATATTGTAGAATCATAGACAATTAGGGAAGGGACCTCAGAAGGTCATCTAGTCCAACCCCATGCTCAAAGCAGGACTGTCCCCAGCTAGATAATCCCAGCCAAGGCTTTTTGTCTAGCCAGGTCTTAAAAACCTTCAAGGATGGAGATTCCACCTCTCTGGGTAACCTGTTCCAGTGCTTTACCTAGTGTCCTTGTGAGAAAATTCTTCCTAATATTTAACCTAAACTTCCTTTGCTGCAACTGGAGACCATTGCTCCTTTTTCTTGAACTATTTCTGTAGTACTGAATATATATATATATATATATTTACATTTTTAATCATGGGCAGCTGGTACCACCTTAGTTGGGGGGGGGCATATGCCAGCGACCAGTCGGGGGGGGGGGGGGATTCCC